CGCAAAAGAGGAAGAATCTCTTCTCCCCCTTCTCCATAACAACACACTGTCTTGTTCTCTGTGTGCGCGGCCACATTGGCCGCATCCCAGTGGATCGTTTACGGTCCTTATGACCTGCCCTCACTCTCCGGACGACAGTCCGTTCTTCCCGCAGAACGCCGCGATCGAGGCGATCCTGCCAGGCACTCCGGGTGGAGCTCCCCTCGGTGATGTGCTGGTCGTCCGTCACCAGCCTCTGGCTTTTCCGGTGCCCGATAACTCCGGGCGTACGCAGCCGCGCAACCATGAAGAAGAAATGGCCGCTTTCCGCGCTCGTCTATGGTCAACACCACTGGCCAACATCTCGGCGGCGAATGGCGCACTTGTCGATGGAATTATTCGCTGGTCGGTTCTTCATTCTCGTTTTTCAATCTGTCTTGATGTTTCAATTAGGTCTGTACAACAACTCCGCGCTCTTCCGGCTGAGCTGGATGGGTGGATGTACTTCGTCCCATATGAAGTGGCAGAAAACCTCTTCAATCCGGATGGCACCCGCCTTTTCCCTATTCATTGGGGTTTTCCACCGGAGGAATGAGACGAGGTCATCAAATAACATACCATTTTGTACCTGCGTTCAATAAATTTTGCCTGCGTTCGTCATTCTCAGCCGCCGCACTGAGTCTCTCGACGATTGCTTCCAAATCGGGTAATTGTCCCCCTAAGTTCCTATGCACCTCTACGCTGGGAAACGACACCTCGATCGTCCATGGTCTTGACCTACGCAAGTAATACCCTTCATATTTATCAGTATATAGCTCGATGTCCAGCTACACGGGTGGAAAGTGACCGAGATTACATTTCTCATAGTCAGGTTGTCGACTATTATAATGCACTCAGCAAGGCCTTTTTTCACAAAATAAGAACGTAGCTGGTATCGCAGTAAGTACTACTTTTGGCCTGGGCAGTCTCCTGCGTCATTCGTAGCACTTTACTTTTCAGACTTTCGCCAAAGTCCGCCTAATATACACGATATGGCACCTCAGAGCCTATAAATGCGATAAAGCAGCTGTATAGTCTTCCTTATATCTACCCATGTTGTTTTTACAGGGTCTTCTAACGATGTGAAGCACGGTTGAGCTGCAAAATGCACCCAGACAGGCAATCACAAGTGCCGTTACACCTCAGTATTCGACGGCCACCATGGCCTTTCAACGTGCGTCGAGCAGTGACGGTAGCTTCAAGCAGCACCAGCGGTGTGTTCACTGGACCTATTAAGCATAGCTATACTCATCTAAACGTCAGGCAAACTACTAGACAGCGTCAAGCAGTTCACCGTCGAGCGTCTGCTGCTTATTACCGGAAAAAGTACTCAGTACATCCATGTAAGTTTAGTGTCACTAAATCCTCTCTAGCCAGAAGAAAATTCTTGATTCTCGCCGTGCTAAACGCGCGAACGCTCGGCCCAAAAGCCCCCACATATCCTCCAGCTTGATGCCGCTCGAGGTCAGCGGCGCTCAATCCACAGAACCACATCTCCCGCCGTCGCCTGGTAGCCTGGGGAGGAATCCGATAGAACCACTGGAATCCCCTCGCAATGTCGCCATTGAAGACAAGGAAACAGATATGGCGGCACAGGTGTTGATTGCACTTGCCAAAGTCGACATCGCCGCCGCCTCGGACTCGCCATCTCGCTCTCGTGCTTCAATTATCTCGCCGGATTCCGATTCACACTTCTCACGGCCACCATCCTCATCCGCCCCAGAGTCCGCGGAAGAAGCTTGCTCTCTGACGCAAGAAAAAGTTCGTGCATACCATCTTGATACTCCTTGACAATTCACCATTGGTACCCCAGCGCTCCTCCCCATCGCACCAGTCCACCTGTGTACAGAGACAGCGACTCACTCCCAGCATGGGTCACGCCGGTTTCAGATGAGCAACGAGCACAACTCTGGTTAACTGGAAGATTCCAACTCAGCAATGTTCAGCAGCGACAATTACAACTTTTACATCTCAACGACATCCCTTTAAAAGAGCCAACCGCGGAGAATGAGGCTAGCTGGGTCTTGGGCAAACTGGATTTCGGCCGACCCCAACTTTCATGGTCCAAGCGCGATACGATAATCTCTTGGTGCGATGCCGTTAACGAAATACCGAATTGGCAGCGAACGCCTGGGCCACGGAGATTCCGTCCCGTGTTTCTCGACACATACCAATGGCGTCAATGCGACCGTCGCATCATGAAACTAGAGGCTGAAGCGCGATTGCGCGCTGAGACCGCCCAAGGACGAGTAGTGCGGCTGTAGTAAAGTGTAACCTGGCAACAACTTGAAATACAGGGCGCTCCCAAGCCCAAGTAACACGCGGCAACAACTTCTAAGTGAGGATTTTCAGAGCGCATGGCAAACAAATATGGAAGTCAAAACATCAGATTTTTTTTTTGATTCAGATGGCGATGACAAAGATAGATTACTCTACAACCAAACCCATTTCATGACGAGGGCGAGGAAAATGGACATTGGCCCATTCCATTCGAACTCGCGTGAAGTCATGGAACCCCATGTACAATGCGTCGATTTCGCGCTTCAAGGGCGCCAGTGGGAGGGGTGGACGATACTGAACGGCGCGACAGTGTGGTTGTGGGCAGTGCCAAGACTCATTGAAGTGGAGTCGCGCGCATACGTAGCAATAGCTATGGCTACACATAAGCCTGCAAGCTAAGTTAGCCAAAAGCAACCGATGAAAAATACACGACATACATTACTGGATGAGACTTCAGCTTGCGGCATAAACCACAACGGTGGTTGTCTTCGAGGATGGCCAAACCAGCGTCCGGAGGAGTTTGATTGTCGTCGACATAGAGCTCTTCGCGTTTGACCTTCACCACATAAGGTGCCTGGGGGTCGTTTTCGCGCAGACAGCAAATCGCTGCATCAACGGCGGTGTCTCGCAGAAAGGTCTGACGCTGTTGCTCCTGCTGAGCTTCGACACCTTCGTCTTGATCGCGCGCTGCATCCAAGGAAGGGTCTCGTGCATCGAGGATAGCTTTCAAGAACACGCTGCCCATCAGAGCAAAGATTTCGGGGGTCGTGTCTGCGCGGACAAAGACGCGAAGGGCCTTTTCTACAAGGAGCCACATGTAAGCATTTTTGGACGACAAAGGTGAGGAGTCTAACTCTAACTCACGTTGGATTTTCGGTCGCCGTGAGTCGGCATTGAGAATGGAGGGCGGAGGCGCTGCCCGAGCTTCCACGAGAGCTCGACGCTTGCGTTCACCTTCCGGAGCTTATGTTGTAGCAAAGAGTCAACACTTTTATGGACAGAGGAAAAGGTTACTACTAACGCGAAGGAGAGTCGGGAGTGCGAGCCCTCTTGCCTCGGCGACGAATGATTGGCGTTGCAGGCAGACGTCGGTCGGTAATTGGGTTGGCTCGACCACCGGAGGCGTTAGCATCTAGCCGAAACGGAGCACTCGTAGCAGCAGCAGGACTTGAAGACTCCTCGACAACGAATGGATCGTGGGCGTCGGTAGGCGAAGCGTCTTCAGGTTCACTGTGAATGCTTGACAAAGAACGACCACGAGCTAACGCAAGTCACCAGTCAGTAGGATGCAGCTAGGTGACTGCCCACATACCTGGGGACGTTTCCAAATCACTGCTGTAGTCGGGCGGCGACGATGGGGGTAGAGGCGAGGTCATTTGTGCATTGCGAAAAAGTGGGCGATCGCCAGAAGGAAGATAAGGCGTAGACCTACCCCCATTAGGACGTGACGTCACATCTATCTGACCGCTCACCAACCACCAAATCTACCCAACACAACACCACACCAGACGCAAATGCAAGCCACACTATCCACAATGTCCAAAAAGAAAAAAAAGAGAAAAAAAAACGGACTGTCCAGCCCAGCTCCTGCCTCATTCAGCGACTACGACTGACTGCCATCCTTGTCGACTTTGCTTACAACTTGCTGAGTCGCAGCGGAACCTCGTTGCTTGCTTGTCGCAATGATTCGCCTCGAAACCTAGTTTCAAGTTGTAGGTCAGGCCCAATGGTCCGGCGTCCCCGAAATCTCGTGCACATGACTTCACCACCTCGTTCGCGAATCGCCATCCCGCTAAAACAGTAAACTAAAAAACCCATATGGTGAACCCCTGTTAACTAGACGAAATGTGACTGCCGCCCAACTTCAGCTTGATCTGCATAGAACAAAATTCAAGCCTCCATAAAGTCCTCGCGCCGGCATCAGCGACTCGAATGCCAATGGCCCTCGTCCACCGATACGGACCCCCGGCACGTCAAATCAACGAAAAATATCCCATAGAACGACCCTTGCAACTCCGCGCACCTCTTAGAGGCACTGGTATTATTCATCCACACGCCTCTTTTGGATGCTGATTGAACGCGCTAGATTTGCAACGGGGGAGAACGTTACACGAGGCCACCTCTATATCCCCCTGGGTCTTTTTCGCGTCTTGAAACCTTTCACGCAACCCCAACAAGGCTTTTCTGGTCGCATGTCATCTTCAATTCCCAATGCGACCTTATTGGCCGAGTAACAACAACCTACGATTCAGCCTTGCCACCTCGAATGCACGCTCTTAACGCGAGCTGCGAAGTCCCATTGCAACTCCTTGTCAGGGACCCGGAGGCTGTTAAGGGCACGGGTGAAGCTATCGAAATGGAATGGAGCAGGGCGTTGGAGCTCCGGTCAGTGCCGTATTGTTCTTCATGTTGTTAACAAGCACTGAACCCATTTACAGCGAAAGGACGCGCAAAAAGCTGGAAAAACCTGTTTATAGAGCTAAACTATAGAGACATGGCTCGAATTTGGTAGATTGTAGATTACATTTCCATATCGCTTGAAATCCATGCAAAAACCGTATCATTCGATCACGGTGACGATGTGACTTCTGATCACCGTGACCTTGCGCTTGACCCGATCTTCGTTTCAGCCAAGCTTTCAGCCACACTTGGCGGGAAGGGACAGGTGAGACTCCATTACTTGCCCATTACCAGTCGCTAACATGGGACGCCGACGCAAGAATACAAAGTTTCGCGTGGGCGGCCTAGCTCCAACACAAACCCAAGGCGACACAAGCATCCATTTCCACTCGAATAGTCGTCGTGTCGCCACAACGCTCGTCAACCAAACACCGACTCAAGACGCCACTTCTGCTGGACATGGAACGACGGATTGGATGCCCTTTTCTCGACTAGGGGATGCGGAATTGGCGGCAATAGCTGCTACTTTAGCGTCGGAGCTGGGACCGGTGGAAGACGATGACCACCCAGTCCCAGGCAAGAGGAAGCGTAACGCTTCAGTGCGTCTGCTTTATATGTCGCTAGCACTTTACTTCTGAAGCTGACAAAGAGACAGGACGACCCCATGGCACTTTGGCGTGGAATGAAGCACTTATTTCTGGACGAGCTATTGCGTGGGGAAAGTCTTGGTCGACATTACACAAAGCCCACATGCGCTATTTGTGGGGAGGAGGTCGGGCCCAATGTCACAAATCGTGCTTTCCGTTGCGCCGATTGTGGGCCATACATCCACTGCGAAGACTGCCTCCGCGTCAGACACCAACAACTACCTCTGCACAGGCCAGAGGTATGTGGACTTTGAGGATTACAGCACTTATCTTATGCGTTGTAGGTGTGGCTGGGCCAATTCTGGGCGCGCTGCGTTCTCTATTCTCGAGGGAACGATACACTACTTGGGCTAGGGATGATATACCAACTGGGTCATCATGGCTTCGCATGCCCGAGTCCGGATATACGTCGACGACGGATGGTGGTAATCGACGTGGGTGGTGTTTTTGAGGTCGATATTCAGTAAGTTTTCTCCCTCTTCGAGCCTCGTTAGCTCAAGCTAACGTTTCTTTGTAGATTCTGCGGATGCTCCGACAGCCTTCGCCACAGGCATACCACCCTATCCCAACTCCTCGATAATCAATGGTATCCGGCTACTGTTACTGAGCCGTCGACTTGCGCCACATTTCGAGTGCTCGACCTGTTTCGCCTGCTCAAGGTCAAAGGCAATATGAATGCTCACGACTTCGTGGGCACACTCGAGCGACTAACGAACGCCACTTTTACGAAGGCGGTACCGGTATGATTTCATCTTTGCATTGTCCTTCCCTTGCTCTAATCGCTTGAATCAGGACCGTTACAAGGCATTTGGGAGGATGAGCCGACAGTACGACTTCCTGCTCCGAGCGAAGAGAGCTGGGAGGGCGCATTACAACGACGGTCTCGCCAGCACTCCTCCTGGCGGGCTTGCAGTTCGCTGCTGGGCATGTCCAGACCCAGAACGAAATCTCCCCGCTGGATGGCAAAACTGTAATGCATCCGATTCGTAGGCATCACCCCAGTTTCCGTTGACGCATCTGATGATTTCCAGATATCTATACTCGCTGATGCTAGCCCTCGACGCCAACTTTCGACTGAAAAATAGGATCCGTGCCAACGAGCGACATGATCCTTCGCTTGGAAGTGGACTGGGCTATTTCGTTGAATTGGGCGAATACAAGGAGCACTTGCGTCATTACGTCGCAGAGGAAGACGTAAGCCAGACTATTCTATCCTTCGTTGGCTAAATCTTTCGCTAGGTTAGCACCTGTATCGCATTCGCAGCGTTGATGCAGAAGGAGACGAAATTGACAACGGGCTTAAGAGTTTCAGGCGTCGGGGGTTGTGTTTGTGCCCGGCATGGGATAGTTCGTCCCATGGGTCTGGGTGATCTCCAGAAGGGTGAAAGGTTGGCCACAGATTGCGGTCGCATGGAATAAACTAATAATACAAATCAGATATGCCAATATGGATTGGGTCTTTTTTGTGCGCGGTTGGAGGCTCGACCGTCAAGCGAATCGTCATTTCTTACGATATCGCATGTCAATGGAAACAGCATATCCTCGAACGAGCAACCCGGCTGTCGACAAATCCCGCTATCCCAACCAATCTTTCCGAGTATGATTTGCAATTCGCCTTACCCGTGTGGCATGCGGCTGCCCACGAAATCAATTGCCAGGCGGCCAATTCACTGACACATGCGGTTGGGGTAGGAAGGACTGACGGCGAAGGCATTGAAAGGACTTGGGCCATCCTGAACCCGATTGGGTTTTCGACGAAGGAGATGGGAGAGGGTAACCGCCATGATACGATTGACGACAAGGTCGATCATTTAAACTTTGAAAAGAACGTGAAACAAGGTAAGCCAGCGGTTCTGCGAGATTGAAGTACTTATGTCTTAAAAAGGGGAAACACTTGCTCGTAAACTTGATCATCGCGCTCGCGCAACGCGATGAGCAGGTCGCGGAGTTTGAGGAGATCGATGAAAGTCTTGATCCAGCATTGCGGAAAGTCTGGGAGGACCGGGTGACGAACTGGAATGCCGATCACAACCAGCCCAACCCTTACGTGTCCAACGCGAAGCAATGTATGTCCAGCGCTCGAGTCCAAATTGAGGAAGGCTGATGAATGCACTAGTTGGGCCCACCGAGGCGCAAATCCTGGCCGACCTGAAGAAGGCCGAGTTAGACCAAGTAAGGAGTGCTCATGGTGGACCAACTGCGGGGAAAACAACTGCCGCTGCGTTCATTAAAGGTGCTCTGCAATTGGAAAATCAACAGTATGTTATTCTACTCATAAGATCTGTCAAATTCTGAGAGTCAACGATAGACGCCGTATACGTTTCGAAGCTAGTGGAATATCGACATTGACGGCAGAAAGGTCAAGCCAGCTCGATGAACTCCGTGTCAACTTCTTCAAGAAGCTCCGTAGTATGGAAGCCCATCAGGTCTACTTCATGCCTGGAGTCGCAGATCTGAGGGCGGCAGAGGAGGAGCGACGAGACGCAGATACACCGCCGCCTGCCGCAGAGAACGTAAAGCTGTGGCTTCCAAGCGATTTGTCAGCGGAGGAAAGGCAGTCGGCATGTCGCCCTGGGTTAGACGAGGTCGAAGCCAAGCTGCGGGTTGGACAATGTGGGGATGCGCTTGCCAAAATTCGCTCCCATCTGCATTCGAAGACACACCTGATCGATACACGCAATGCAAATGCAGTGGGACAACGCTCAAGCACTCGCTATAGCACGCTTATCGGCCGAGTCGGAGACCAGGCAAAGCGACAGGCAATCAAGTATCGGGAGGTTCTACAGGCTCTTATTCGGCTTCGAGGCGCCAATTATGCGCCGGAATTCAAAACTCTCCACGATGACGATCTTCGTGTCCATATCGAGCCCGAGAGCGATGCGCAGGGCCCGAGCTGCGCTGGGTAGACTGGGCTCTTCGCGTCGGGCCAGGAATGAGCCATCGGTTGCGCAGAAGATGCTACCAGTTTCTTGGATCTGGTTTACGGGGGAAGAAGGTGGAAATGGTGAAGGAGGAGTTGCACGCGAGAAGGAGCTACATGACTGTAAGTTTTCTACTGATATATACTGGCTCTTGCTAATTGTCGTGGGCGGCAGCAATACGGGTTCAGTGGACCAAGAGCCGCGCTCGTCGTGACCGATGGGTCGAGGAGGTCGCTCTCCTGCGGGAGGAGATGAGAAGAGTCCTGCAGAGTGTTTGGAGTACACAGAAGGAGTGGAAGGAAAGGGAAGCCGCGCGCTCCGAGATAGACGGAGAGCTTGCTGCTGGTTTGTTGGCGTATGCGCGGCGGCAGCAGGATTTGCACAAAAGAGTGGCAGAGAGCTTCCGGGCGGGCTGGACATCATCAAAGGTGGCGGCTATTAGGCTCGTTGGGAACCGGATTGGTGAGGAGGAGGAGCCGGAGGAGGCGGAGGATCACGTGCAAGATACCTCTCACGTGGCGGACGTGTCATCGGGACTGGTGGCTTAAGAAGTTAACAAGTGTATTTAAGTAGTTAGGATAATAAGTAACCATATTGATGTCATTGATGTCGCTGATGGGGTGATGTCTGAGTGGTGCCGAGGTGCCGAGATTTTCAGTGAGAAGAAGGATGGCCTAAAAAGGTAAGACACCCAAGCGGATGGCAAATGCACTAGCTGCACTGAGGCTCAGTGCAGCTAGTGCATTTGCCATCCGTTTCGCTGAGTGTACTGAGTGCAGGAGGCAAATGTGTGCAACTACAGGTGCAACCTTGGCGCGTCAAGAGCGCAGTATATAGTTCCGCTACCTAGCAGGCGGACCCTTAGAGTTTCTTCTCTTTGGATCCTCCCCTGCTAGGTCAGCCTCACTTGTATTTGCTTACTTCTATTCACTCTTTGGATCCTCCCCTGCTAGGACCTTGATCTCAGGCCTCCGGGGTTGCCCTTACAGCAGAAGAAACTCTCTACGGGATCAACCGGACAAGATTGCCAGGTTCGGCGCTGACTCAGGCTCGGAGTCCGAGTCCACTCCGCCCTCGCCACCGCCCCTGCCACTTGTCCCCTCCTCCTCTGCCACTCCTGTCGTCCCCGCACCTGTCATGCCTTCCGGAGCTACTCCTGACGCTGACACTCGGCTGGATGCACTCGAGGCGAAAATCGACCGCCTAACTGAGGCCCTTACTCTCCTCACCACCCAGGCTTCCGCTGCCGCTGCCGCCGCTAATACTGCTGGCGGACCCCAAACACCACCACTGGAGACGTCGATTCCGACTCCAACTCCGGTTCAGGGCGATTCCGAGGCCCTCTTTGGCGACATCAACCTCGCCTCAAAATTGGTTTTACGACCAAACCCCCCGTTCACCTTCAACGGTGATCGGAAACGCGGCCGCGCGTTTCTCTATGCGGTCCGCACCTACGCCCGCCTTGCCCCTGAGGCCTTCGTGGTCAACGGAGAGGCGAGCGAGGAAAAGGCCGTCCGCTATGCCATGTCGTTTATGGCAGAGGGACCCGCTCAGCAATGGGCGGAGCGCCACGGAAGCAAAGCCCCGTTTCCGTTTCCGTCCTGGGGCTCGTTCGTTTCTGAGTTCCGACTCCGGTTCGTCGAGGAGAATGAGCAAGATCATGCTCTCTCCAAACTGGAGACTTCCGCCTATCACATGGGCATAAAGGATGTCTACCAGTACACCGACGACTTCGAGGACCTGATGGACCTCGCCGGATTCGACGACGCGTTGGTCAAGGTGACCAAGTTCCGCCACGGACTTGACCCCTTGATCAATAATGGAATCACGTCCTCGAACGACCCCCCGGACCTCCGGGATTACCTTAGCTGGCGCACCCGGGCCTTCCGTCAATACGAGGCCCTGGTCCGGGCCAAGCTGATCAAGTCAGCCGCCCCCAAGACGCCTGGCGGTTTGATTCGGACTCCGTTTCCGGTCAACCGCGTCCCGGCTCCGGCTCCCTTCCGCCCGGTGGCTCCGGTCGTGCCACCCGCGGCCCGCGCCCCCGCTCCGGCGCCTCCAGCTCCCGTCCCCATGGAGTTGGATCGCACTAGGGCTCGGGGTGCCCCTCGTCGCGCCTGCTTCAGGTGCGGCGACCCAAACCATCTCGCCCGAGATTGCCCCCTCCCCGCGGATGTCCGCTCGATGGACATCCTCGACGAGGTGATCCAACAACTCGGTGACGAGATGTTAGCGGAGTTGATCGCCCGCTACTCGGACACAGCTGCGCTGCCGGAAACAGCCGCGGAGTCGATGGCCGGAGAGGATTTTGTCCCCGCGACGAGTGACTGGTGTGCCCTCGTTCGCGTCCGTAAATCGTTTCGCTTGTTTGTATGACGAATCAATTCATTTGCCCTACAACGAGCCTGAAACGAAAGACATACCCTCCCCCGCCCCGTTTCGACTCCGTCTCCGACTCCGCCCGCGACTCCGGTCATCGTCCTTCGCCGCCTCACTGCCTGGGAAAAGAAATTGCCCAAGCAGTACACTGTCGCTGCTTCCCCTGGAGTGAACTCCCTCCACCTCCCGTTGGAGCTAGAGTCCACTACCAGCGCTTAAGCTCTCGCTCTCTGGCCTGGTTGACTGTGGTGCCACCTCCGACTTTATCGACACGAACTATGTCGCTCGGAATGGCATTCCGGTCCGCACCCTGGCGCAACCGATTCCGGTCTTTAACGTTGATGGCACTCCGAACGACGCCGGCTCCATCAACCAGATCGCGGACTTGGTCTTGCGCTACAAAGGCCATTCTGAGCGTGTTCAACTCGCCGTCACTCATCTTGGTAAACAAGACCTTATCCTGGGGTACTCCTGGCTGCGGAAGCATAACCCAGAGATCGATTGGGAAACCAAGGAGGTCAAGATGACGCGGTGCCCTCGCGGCTGCTCCACTTGCCGCGAGGAGGAACGCGTTGAACGGACTGAGCTACGGCGACTCCGGCTGCTCCAGAAGCGACTCCGCTCCGGCCCGTTCCCCTCGGTCTGCGCCATGGACCTCTCTGGGCCTGGACGACGGAGAGCGATTCCGTCTCCGGTGACGACTCCGCCCTGCCTGATCTGATGCCGGACTCCGACGATGATGAAGACGATGGTCAGCTTGAAGATGGTGACCGCATCTTCTACACCTCGTTCCGCCCCTCAGAGGAGATACGCGCTGGCAGTACTGTCTCACAGCGCCTGGCCGAAGCCTTCGCCAGGAACTCCGCCCCTCCGCCCTCCGAGATCCCGGACTGGGCTAAGGAGTTTCAGGACGTCTTCAACAAGGAGTCCTTCGACACGCTACCGGAGCGGAGAACCTGGGACCACGCCATTGAACTCGTCCCCGATGCTAAGCCCACCAACTGCAAGGTGTACCCCATCTCGCCCCTCGAGCAACGCGAGCTCGACGCGTTCATCGAGGAAGGGCTTTCGACGGGCCGGATTCGCCCCTCCAAGTCTCCGATGGCGTCTCCGGTCTTCTTCGTCAAGAAGAAGGACGGCGGACTCCCTTCGTCCAGGACTACCGTGCTCTCAACGCGATGACTGTCAAAAACCGGTACCCCCTTCCGCTGATCAACGACCTCATCAACCGGCTCAAAGGCGCTCGTTACTTCACCAAACTCGACGTCCGTTGGGGCTTCAACAACGTCCGGATCAAGGAAGGTGACGAGTGGAAAGCGGCTTTCCGGACTAACCGAGGCCTGTTCGAGCCCCTTGGTGATGTATTTCGGCCTGACAAACTCTCCCGCGACGTTCCAAACGATGATGAATGACATTTTCCAGGACCTCATCCTTTCCGGAGACGTCATGATCTACCTTGACGACATCTTGATCGCCCATTCCGACCTCCGGAAACACCGGCAGATCGTTCAGGAGGTCTTGCGGCGACTCCGAGAGCACAAGTTGTACCTCCGAGCGGAGAAGTGCGACTTTGAAAAATCGTCAATCGAGTACCTCGGAGTCATCATCTCCCACAACCACGTCGAAATGGACCCCGTCAAGGTCGCAGGCGTCTCCGCTTGGCCGACTCCGGAAAACAAGAAGGACATTCAGCAGTTCCTTGGGTTCGCTAATTTCTACCGCAGGTTCATTCGGGACTTCTCGACCCTTGCGCGCCCTCTTTTTGTGCTCACCAAGAAGGACCAGCAATGGACTTGGGGCGACGCGGAGGCCTCCCGCGTTCCAAGCGATCAAGGACGCAGTCACCTCGGAACCGGTCCTGGCGATTCCGGACGACGCACGGCCTTTCCGACTTGAGGCGGACAGCTCTGATTATGCGACGGGGCGGTTCTTTCACAATCCGCCCCGGACGGGAAGTGGCACCCTGTAGCATTCTATTCCAAAAGCTTAAATGATGTCCAGCGCAACTACGAAATCCACGACAAGGAGATGCTTGCGATCATCCGCACACTCGAGGAGTATAGACACTTCCTCGAGGGCGCCGCGCATCCCGTCGAGATTTGGACTGACCATAAGAATCTGGAGTACTTCAGGAAGACGCAGCACCTCAACCGGAGACAGGCCCGCTGGTCCCTCTACCTCTCCCGGTTCGACTTCACGCTGCACCACAAGCCCGGCCGCGACATGGGCCGACCTGACGCCCTCTCTCGGAGACCCGACCACGGAGTCGATTCCGACAACTCCGACGTCGTCCTTCTGCGGCCCGAACTCTTCCATGTCCGCGCTCTCGAAGGTGTTTCCGTTTCCGGCCCTGGTTCTGAACTCCTTCGCGACATCCGCGACGCCCTCTCCGGTGAGCCTGACTTAGAGGAGCCCGTCGCACTAGCGGCCCGGCAACTCCTAAAGGTCCAAGGTCAAGCTCGAGGCCCCCGCTCCTCGCGCTCCGACGAGTGGGCTGTCTCCGGTGGTCTTCTTCACTTTCGTGGGAAGATTGTCGTACCTAAGGATAAGGACCTCCGGAGACGCATCATCGAGCTCTGCCATGACACTCGAGTTGCCGGACACGCTGGTCGCTTCAAGACCTTGGAGTTGGTCTCCCGGAACTACTGGTGGCCTCAGATGTCTCGCCATATTGGCCGGTACGTCGCGACCTGTGACTTGTGCTGTCGCACCAAAGCACTCCGGAGACTGCCCCACGGAGAGCTGCACCCGACGGAAACGCCCCCAGAGCGTTGGCATACCGTCTCCGTCGACTTCATCGTCGAGCTTCCGGAGGCCCATGGGTATGACGCGATCATGGTCGTCGTCGACACCCTTGGGAAGCGTGCCCACTTCTCGGAGTGTCACACCACGGTCGACGCAGTAGGGGCGGCTCGCCTCTACTACCGGAATGTCTGGCACCATCACGGGACTCCGGAGAAGTACGTCTCCGACCGCGGCTCGCAGTTCATCGCGGACTTCACCCGAGAACTCTGGCGTCTAATCGGCATCAAGCCTGCCACGTCCACCGCGTACCACCCGCAGACAGACGGTCAAACAGAGCGCGTCAACCAGGAGCTGGAGCAGTACCTGCGGATCTTTACCAACTATCAGCAGGACGACTGGGATGAGCTGATTCCGGCCGCGGAGTTCGCCTACAACAACCACGTTCACTCCTCCACGCAACAAGTCCCCTTCATGACGGACACGGGACGACTCCCGCGCATGGGCTTCGAACCCGGAGTCCGTTCCGCTATGGAGTCCGTGAACGAGTTCCGCGACCGGATTGCCACTGGTGTTGCCGAAGCCAAGGCCGCGCTCACTAAGGCCAAAGAGGAGTACAAGCGCTACTACGACCGGAGACGCACTCCGTCTCCGGAGTTTAAGGTTGGCGACCGTGTTTGGCTGGATGCCTCTGACATCAGGACGACTCGCCCCTCGGAGAAGTTCTCCCACCGCCGCCTCGGACCGTTCAAGATAGTCGCGGAGATCAGCAAAGGTGCCTACAAGCTCGACCTCCCTCCGCTACTCGAAGCTCCACCCGGTCTTCCCCGTCGTCAAGCTCGAGCTCGCCCAAGACGACCCCTTCGACGGACGCCCCGGCTACGACCAGCCCCCTCCGGACCTCGAGGACGGAGTCCCGGAGTGGGAAGTAGAGGAAATCCTGGACGCAAGGGTGAGGTATAAACGGCTGAATTACCGTCAGATGGAAAGGCTACGACGCGTCGCACGACCAGTGGGTCCGCTTCGACCGCGTCTTCGCCCCGGAGAAAATCGCGGAGTTCTATCGTAAGTACCCTGGCAAACCACGGCACATCACCTCTGCAACCTTCGACTCGATTCCATTCCGGTCTATGCGTCGGGACGCCGCATTCAAAGGGGGGTGATGTCAGGGGAACCTCCCTTTCGGCCCCTCGGAGACGATTCCGATTCCGGTCCGACTCGGTTCCGACTCCGGCGATCGCATCACCGCCTCCGTCAGGCGCATCGCCGCCCCCGCCTGGCGATCCCCCTGGGACCTGGCCTGCGACATGGCGCAGGCATACTGCACGGAGCAACGATCAACCTTGGCGCGTCAAGAGCGCAGTATATAGTTCCGCTACCTAGCAGGCGGACCCTTAGAGTTTCTTCTCTTTGGATCCTCCCCTGCTAGGTCAGCCTCACTTGTATTTGCTTACTTCTATTCACTCTTTGGATCCTCCCCTGCTAGGACCTTGATCTCAGGCCTCCGGGGTTGCCCTTACAACATTGCAATGGGTGCGCCAATCCTTGACCGGCTTGCTACCGTCCAAGCTGAGGGGGTTGTGTGTCACTGCCGAGAGCAATTTTCAAGACTCCTTTCTTTCGGAGCTTGCATAAGTATCAAAAGCCCAGTTGTTGTAAGTGATCTCATCGAACAGTTTCAGCTTTGAAGCTGAGTCTGTAGCAGCTCTAATTGCGACAACAGTGTCTATTGTCAATTTCAGGGTGTGCAACAGAGGTTAAGGGGTTTAATATAATGGCAAGTTGGGCCTGAAGAGTGGTGTTCTTAGGTCCAGGATGAGGGAAATACTGACCCATTTCATTCAATTCAGCGGGCCTGTGACCCGTGACCGTTTGGCCGAAATGTTTAATTCGGCCACAGGCTGAATTTTGTGTGACCTATTGCCTGATCAGGAAATTCAGTGCGCCATAGGCGCGAAAACTTTGAAAATCTGCCTGATCAGGACAGTGAGGACACTTTGGGACCAAAAAAAATCTGCTGTGACCTGTGACCCGCCGAAATACTTTGGCCAAAAAATCCGACGTGACTGTGACTTGCAGAATTGAATGAAATAGGTCAGTAACCATAGGCGACAAGTTGGGGTGGCCGTGATGAGAACAGGATGATATGGAGACTGTAGTTTTTTTTTCTTCTTCTTTTGGCTATATAACACATAATACAGACACTTGATTGAAATCCTATAGTATATTATCTTTTACTAAAAATATAGATGTAAATAGATAATTTCTATTTACCTGTGTGTTAGAAAAGAAAGTTTTGCATGTAGACATTCTTGGAAATTCAGAGGACTGACTGAGTCTAATACTATCAGATTACACAACTGTGTAAATTACCTTCCTAATATGGCAGTGTCACATCACAGTCATGGTTAGTGGGTCCTGGACTTAAACAAAAAGTCTAACATATGTACCTCCTTGTTCTTCCAAGTTTTTTAATAAAGTTTGAGAGGATGATAATAATTCAGTGCCTTGGTCTAGCATATGCTGTATAGGTACTGATTTTATTTCCTGGCTCTCTGTGTTTGTGATGACAAATAATTTCTTTTTTGGGAAGTCATGTGGCTTAGTCACGCTTAGTCAATAGGAAGTCTTGGTGCTTATTTCACTTTTTGACCCCCTGTCTAAGATATTTTTTTTTGCGCAGACCCCTTGCGTGTCCTGCTACTCGGGCCGTATGATCATGACTCAGTGCTGTTACTTGTCGGACGCGAATGGCGTAATAAATTCTACAGATCGACTTTACAAATTACTGGTCTAGGCATTAGTCGTCGTCGTGACTCTCAGACTCCCAGTAGTCATCGCCCCAATACTGGAAATTTCCCACCGATTTGTCCTCATAGTCGAGGTAGACCATGTCAGAGTTGATCATAACCTGCAACTTTGGGATGTCTGCCATATTTTTAGGCTCCACAGCGGCCTGGGACTGCCGTTTTCCGAGAAAGGTCGCGGAGAAGTAGTGCGAATGAGCGGCAGGCAGGCCCGACGGGGATCCTTGGAGGTCTTCGTCTTCGATTAGGTTGGAGGGGACGGACTCCGGGAGAACGCGGTCAAGGCGATACTCGCCGACATACGAATAACGCCGCAGAAGGGTGTCCACGTGAGGCTCGAATATTGCGGGCGCTGCCCACGAGAGGTGGTCCAGGTCTGTCGTAGAGAGATCCTCAACTATATGTTGAATGATTTCTGGAGGAACGGAGGACAGAAAATGACCGGGTAGACTCTTTCGGGTTACGCTCGGTTTGTTGAGTGCTTCGCATAGCCCGAGCCGTGCAACTGCCGCGATGCCCGGAGTTGAAGGGTTGTCTGTGTGCAATGATGGCAAGAATTGCATCGCTTGGGTGACTTGCAATTTTCCGTCCGCCCGCTTCATGATTGCGCAGTGGAAAAGCGAAAACAGGATTCCGAACACGGTTTCAGACTCTACTTGCTCCATTTCGTGTCCCATTTCACCTGCCTCCTTCTTCCAAACCCGCTCGTCGTCAAGGTGCGTGCAGAATCGTACGCAAACAGTATCGGGGACAATCCAGAGCAGCTGTTGGGCCGAGACAGGTGCGGAATCGATGGTGGAGCCAGGTTTCCGGTTTTTGATGTTATTCAGGTCGAGACGCTGTATTCCCAGCCTCAGAACCGCAGCTCCCCATGAGGAGATGTATAAGGGAATATCCCTGCGATCCCTCACAGTTTCCAGCACATGAATGGACGTTGCAAATGATTGGGCGCGCATTCGTCCGCCCACAACGATTTCATAGAATGCGATGCGGGCCAACTCCCACTGTGGAGGTTCCCTGTCTGGCGGACGGTCTAAAATGGCGTCGATGCCAAGTATCTCGGGCCCAAGAGCGGCGTAAGCTGCAATGGCTGCCTGATCAACGAGCGGCGGCGCAACGACCCAGCTGTCGCGGTATTCGACGGGTGTCCGTGGCGAATAGCTCCGGTGGCCATAGCTGTTGAATCCAATGCAGGCACAGAACACATCATCGTCAGCGGGGATGTTCCTCAACGAGAAAATCGGACAGTTATCAACTAACAAGATCCATTCAGTTCTTGATCCAAAAGAGGCGCAAGGAGTCACCAAGAAACAGTTCATTGTCCAGATCCAGCTCATAAATCCACTCGATGAAGATATCATTCACGGGTGGGCGGTGGAAGATTTCAAAGTCAGACGCGTTCTTGTCAACAGCATGAGCCTCCAATTCTTTCTCGAGCTTTTGGCGAAGCGTTGCGAGCCAGAGCTGATATTCTACTGCGTCGGATGGTACCTCTTTCTTGACTTGCACGCCAAAAATTCTTGGGTAGCTGTCGTAGTGGTTGTATGTGACGAAATAGCGGCGTTTGTAGCGATACACTCTTTGAACACGTGAAGTGTGGCTTTACTGGCCGCTAGTAACGAGAACAGACCTGTACCCACGCGTTCCCATCGCGGTGGTTGTGGTAGGTTGTGGTTTAAGGAGACCTTATTGTGTAACGCGTGACTCCGTCGCGAAATGACTCTGCTTGAGGAGCGGGTGGGCTTCGCAAAGGCTTTGTTGGGATTCTCCGGTTGCATGCCCAGCTGCATAGATGCGAGTAATACAGCAATCATGCTAGGCGATTCCCAGTGCGTTGACGGCCCGGGTTGAACGTTGATTCATCCGAACGGTTGAACGACCTTCACCTGCCCCACTTATCCCATGTCTGTATGGAACGTACAGTAGAAGAAATTGAACGGCGCAGGAGGTATTTTGTGACAACCTCTGATATGCCACGGGAATGTCCAAAAGTGTCCAAAAGTGCCAAGTCCGAAGTATTACAATTGTATAACATAACAACTACAATTTCTCAATGATATATCCAATCCGAGGAAAGTACAAGCTAGCAGACCCAGACATCGACCTCTTCATGATATTTTCTTGAGCAGAAGAGTGTGAAAAATCTTCAAAGTCAGTATGATCTTGCGAAAAAAAAAAAGAGAGAGACTCACCTTGAGAAGGGAGACGTGTCGTAGCGGTAGAGAATGACAGACATGACTCGGTGTGGATGTGGGACCAGGCTTTAGAATGAGTGAGGCGGGCCGCGGCTGGATGGCATTTCCCAAAATAGAGCGAGTTGATTTTCTCGCGATGGTTCTTTTCTTCCGCTAATCCATCTCCCTGTCTCCCTTACAGCTGTTTTCAAAATAGTTGGCCACGGCCCGATTTTTCGTCACACATCAAAATTTGCACAAAATTGGTGGTCCGAGATTGTGGAGGCTTGTTCTCACTCAAAACCATGTATTCCTCTGTAAATTTTAGCATATTTGGAATCTACTTGACGAACTGGACCCAACGGTGTGGCCTACATGAGGAGATACCCAGATATGACTGATCTCTTGCCTCACCTGATTTTCAGCGTGGTTTTTTCCATTGCTCTATAACACAATAGCTTTTGACTTAGAAAAGACAGATATATGGTTTATTAGTGAGTATGAAGCTTCTGCAAATGATTGTGAACCGTAGGCTGGCCTTATCTAGTCTCCACGAACAGCTCTGCTGTCCCTCCTCTTGACCTTGATCCATTTCGGCACCTTTCTCACCTGTCTATGGCCGCCAACATTCTCGGACCTCTCAATTCACACCCTAAAATCTCCTGGTTTGTCGTTTGGGCTGCCAGCCACCCTGCTTTTGGAGAATACAAGTATTTGGTCCAAGCATTGATATCCGTCAAACCTCCTCAATTGCGAGACAGAATGCTCATGTAGGTGGCCAGTAGGCCACACCGTTGGGTCCGGCTCGTCGAGTAGATTCGGAATATGCTAAAATTTACAGAGGAATACATGGTTTTGAGTGAGAACAAGCCTCCACAATCTCGGACCACCAATTTTGTGCAAATTTTGATGTGTGACGAAAAATCGGGCCGTGGCCAACTATTTTGAAAACAGCTGTAACAGCTCAACCCCTAGAGCACCACCCACTCATGAACCATGACGATCAGTGGCCTCCGACGACTGCGTAATGAAAACCGAGAAGGATCAATTGCAGAGCTGAGCTCGTTGGGTGGACTGGATATTGACACTGCGACTCTCAACCTGGGCCCGACAACACGACCCACTTCGACCTCTGACGCCCCCCTCCGCACTATGGTCGATGCCATCGATATGCACAAAGCCTTGTTTCCGTCAGAAGTCAAACGACTTGTTGAAGAGGCAGCAACAAACACGGACCGGCTCAGTGCAGTACGTGTTTCTGGCTTTATCCCGTTCAAGACCTCCCCTCGACGCGCCGTTTATAGTTTTTCAGCATTACGGATCTGATGCAGCATGAGACGAAGATGGAAACCCATGCGAAGACGTGTATGTTGCTGTCGACTTGCCTTAAAGCCTTCCCTGGGATTGCACTGTTTCCTGTGGACGAAACCGATGTCTACCAGCCACCTCCTGGCTCGGCGTGGTATGCAAAGCGACGTGATATCGAGGACTCATTACTGAGGTTAGTAATACCGCGCAAATTCATCGACCAGCTCACCTGTGTACTTAGAAACTTACGAAAATACATTCGGTTCTCAGAGCACTTTGTCCGAAAACCTCCACGCTACGAAGAAAAGGTTCACGTAGAGCTCAATAAGTTCCATGCCTTCGCGGACAAATTTTTTGACTTGTCTTCCAAGCTCTCAGTATGTTCATTGTCACCTTATCTTCATTGTTCTCAACGTCGTGCTAGAATTCTAACGAGAGGCTTCGTCTTATGGAGCTGGTGGACAGCTACGAACGAATGAAGTTGGATCGTCTGAAGAAGCGGGAGGAACGCGCCATCATCCGCGCAGATAGGGCCGCTCGTAAACTGGAACGAGAGCTATTGAGGCAGAAGCGGGACGCTGAGTTGCACGCGCCAGTAGAAATAGAAATAACTTGACTTGGTTTCCAACTATTTCCGCGAATCTGTCACGTGCCACCACCCTCTCTCTAAACCACCATGTCCACAGCACACAGACCGACATGGGACCCTGCCCAGGCTCGCGACATCAAGGGAGGGTCCCGGCAATTCTCCGCACGAGATATGGCCATGCATACCAAGCTCAAATTCCGGTGGGAGTTGAGCATAACAAGCTCCAAATATGTGCTGAGGCAATTTCCAGACAGGTCGGTCAAACCTCAGTGGCGGAGGTGAAACAACGGGACTTGAGGGCGGAGCTGGCGGCAGCAGAGCTTGAGGCGAAGAACAAGAAGCGCAAAGCAGAGGGCTTGCCACCGTTGGCTTTAGAGGGCTCTTCAACCGCACCACCCGCTGACGACGAGTCCAACAAGCGAAGAAAGCTCCTAGAGGAATCTCTCGCACTGGATAAAGATGATTCAGATGATGAGAACGAGAAGGGGAACGAGATGAAAGATGCGGATGCTAGGTGCGTGTTTTTTTGGCTATTTCTTTGCCTTTCTCGACTGACGTTTGGACAGCGGCTCCGACTCTGATTCTGATGAGGACGACGACGAAGATGAAACCGCGGAACTCTTGCGGGAGCTTGAAAAGATCAAACGGGAACGAGCTGAAGAGAAAGCGCGATTAGACCAAGAGCAGTCGGCCGCGGACGCGGCTACACGAGAAGCAGAGATTGCTACGAGTAATCCATTGCTCAATCTTGCTGCCGCGCTTGGTCAAAACCCCACGGGTATCAATACGACAGCTCCAGGCTCGTTTGCTGTCAAAAAGCGTTGGGACGACGGTGAGCTTTGGCACAGTGATGGAGTCTATAGTTGCTCATATATACTACACAGACTTGATCTTCAAAAACCAAAGCGTGAACCAAAAAGAGCGACCTACGCATTTCGTCAACGACTTGCTGAGGACGGAGTTTCACAAGAAATTCATGGCCAAGTTCATCAAGGTTTGACTTCCATTTCGTCTTCACGATGAAGCTCACAGTGTTGCAGTAGTAATATAGTGTCGTGTGTCGTGTGTGCTTATAAAATGTTCATTCAAACTCCTCATTCCGTGACGCAATGGACACACGGAGCGGCAGCTGGACTCCCTTGTCGCGCTGTCCCTCGACACTTGGTGCCATAAGTATGCACTTTTCTCGGCGGAGACGCAGTGCCTCAGGTGTCAGCGCAAACTCGAAGGTACCGACAAGCTCAATCAGGAAGGCCTGTAATTCAAGGATTCTATGCAGAGTCAGTTTCTGCACGGACTGTTGAGTCAACTTACGCAAATTTCCACCCGATGCAATTCCTTACTCCTCCTGCAAAAGTCAATCTGTTCGTTTTATTCAGTATCAGCAGTTTCCCTTTCAACAAGCTTACAGATTAGAATATGTCCCAAGTGGAATTTCCGGCTTGCGCATCGAGCCGTCCAGCCAGCGTTCTGGGTTGAAAACATTTGCGTCTGGGCCAAACACGTCCTTGTTGCGGTTGTAAACAGCGATTGATACGACGATGTTCATGCCCTTGGGTATTGGCAGTTCGTTGACGACTTCTCCGGAAGTCAGTGTTATCGGACGCGAAAGTGGAAGAACGTCGTCTGTCGCGCTTCTTCTGAAGTTGTTGAACGAGGCAGGATGAAGCCGGAGGATTTCTTTCAGGACGGCATTCAAATAGGGCATCGCGTCAAGATCGCCTGTGGTAAACGTGTAGCCGCCTCGCGCCGCTATCGTTGCTTCCATTCGTCGAATCTCGTTTCGGAGCCGCGTTTGTGTGGCAGGATGTTTCGCTAATTCCAGAAGCCCCAATGCGATCGTATTGGCGGTGGTTTCGTGTGCAGCCAGGATGATGGTGCGCATTTGGGAGAGCAACTCGTCTTCGGTGAGTCTGGTCTTGACATCATTTGACGCATTTGCTTTCACTACAACAAAGTGGTCAGCACAGTAGAAGCGAAGGAACGGCGACCGACCAAGCAAGCTCATAATATCGCGACTGCCTTTGCCCTCTAACAACGCTGCTGATTTCGCAGCGACAAGGTCGCGGGCTACTTCAGTCGTCACTTTCGTTGTATGGCGCACATGCTCAAGACCAGCCGAAGGGATGTTGTCGACCACAAATTCACGGATCAACCGAGGGATATACTGGATCAAGCCATGAGACAATAAACTGGAGTTGGAAGGGGTCCCGAAGGTTTTCATCCTTGACAAATTTCAGTCCACTATCAATCTTGCGTTACCAGACAGGTCACTTACAGGACATTTCTGTATGCAGTGCCCACGGGATTGTCCACGTTGTCCATTGCCCCAAAAGAATAGTCAAATGCGGCTGTAGCTCTCGTCAAGACGCTGGTTGACCAAAATACGGAAATTTTTGAAACAACCTTCTCCAATTACGTCGAGTGTGGCGCGTGAGGCCCATCTACATGTTTGATCAGTAGACAGGAATTCAAACCAGTTAAAAACTTACTCTACGAGGTTGAAAACGGCAGAGTGGTCCGCGCTGGTAGTGTTGTCGATAATCTCTTTCCATTTTGCAGTTATCTTGCCAAGGTCAATGCGAGCCAATAGAAGAGTATTTATTTTTACCTGTGCGGCATACGAAAAAAACAACGGCAGGAAAGATTTTGCTTGCGAAACGGTGAACCCAGGAGCCAACACCTTTCGATGGCGTTTGTGGTCGTCGCCTGAGGCAATTATCAGGTTCTAGTAAAGATGGGGACGAGGTTGAAAAACCGTCAGCCCAAAGTAAGCCACGCCCACTGCGAGATTGATGAGAGAATCAGGTTTGATCATGGGCTGGAGAAGAAGAACAGACCTAATCAGGCGGCTAATCTCGCTCCTTTCGACTTGTTTCAAGAAACCATACCCAGCGACATGGTAAATATGGTGCAACGCTTTTGGGTCTGTGACCAGGAGACGGTCTTCCTAAACCAAATCAAAACCCGGTAACAAGAAATGGCCGTGCATAACCCACCCCAAACGAGCCCCGGAATCTGACGATGCCGCCATACATCTCCGTCCACGTTGACTCTATCTAGTCAAGTGAAAGAAATGCGTGGACACTTCACACAGAGCAAAGCGTACTTCGCCAACCTGCCCACTAAAGAGGTCCGGCATGTTGCCTGGACGAAAAATTTACCTCAAAACAGAGCATGCTTATGGTACTCACCTAGAAGCCATGATGTCGTTTTGGGCCCTCTAACCGTGGCGATGGAGATTTGAGTGAGACGTTTGAAAACCGCAAAGCAAGTCCATAGCAAAAGAGAGCCCAGTACAATGACAAGGCTGAGTTGCATGAAGGGCGAACTGAGGCAACGACTGTTTTTGGGGGGCAGTTTATATCCGCGGCAAGGACAGCTGAAACTGGGACAAGCATCAGGTGGTTAAGAGCGACACCAGACTATAGCTCGTACATAAGCGCTTACGGTCAACCAACTCGGGGACTTCCTTTCATTATCCAGGCGACAATAATACATTCAGCCAGTCTCGATTAGATTCCTTGTTTATCACCGCGTTTGCCAGGTTGACCATTTTAAGACTACGATTATTAGATCAAGTGCCGCGGGCAGGGAGCTTGATTCCTTCTGACGTGCGAGAAGGAATCTGGCTGGGTTCCGCGCCATCCGGACGAGCAAAAGACCCGACACCTTTTTTCGTGCCGGACTGAGACAAGCCCAGTGCACGAACCATCTACGCCGCTAAATGAATTGGTCATCAGTAGGCAGTTCACCAAGGAGAAAAATGCTCACATTGGTCCCAGGTCCATCCCTCTGTAGCCCACTCGGGCATTGGGGTTTCGAATGTGCCCAGAGTGGTCGTATATCTCAACGCATGCAGGAATATGTATAGCTTCTCTGGCTTGGGGTCCGGATGTAACGGCAGGTAGCACTCCGGGCAATATGAGTTCTCTGACAGCGCAAGGGTGGTGGGATCAGAATTGGCTTCCATGGTCGATGCGCGTTGGATTGCTTCGTCAACGGTCAACTGCGGTGGCGACGGTGTGTCATCTGCAACTACTAGGCTTAACGATGATACTGCTTCGGTCGCGTCGTCGACTTCAGGACCCAGGCTTTGTGTTATATCTGGATCTAGACTGGTGGGAGTAGAAGTAGAAGCTGCAGCAACTGTTCTAGTTTCGGAAACCACCGGATTAGGATTCGGTTCGGACGTCGTAGAGTCGCTTTGCTTTAAAAATTCCCCTGGTCCACGGCGTCGTTTGTTTGCAGGGACTGGTTTAATCTTGAGGTTCTTGGGTGACAATGCACCTTTGGAACGAAAAATAACATCGCGCCATCGACCCCAGTCTTCTTCCTCATCCTGATGCAACGTCACTTTAGATGGTGGCTCAGAAGGGAAGGCGGACCTTCGTATTCCGCAAACGCGTGATAACTTCGACCGCCTCACTCGACAAAGGCACAGGCGAGCCCATACCGATGTCTTCTCCGGTTTCGCGTGGAAGTAATTTTGGATAGGGAGTACTATCAGCCGTCGACTTTGTTATCGATTCTGGATTGCCTGTTGCTTCCGTTTCAAGCTCTAGATGAGCAGGCGGAGCGGGAGCCGCCCGCTCATCACTCGGTGTTATGTCGATACCGCCTTTGCCGAGGCCTTGACCCTGGACTCAATCAATCAATGGGCAAGCATTATACCGCTCTATACTCACCCAAATCTTTGTTTCCGAGTAGACGGGGTCATTTGCAATGGGATAGCCGAGGAATTGTAGGTGAACGCGTATTTGATGGGCTGAAATGAAATGAAAAAGTGGTCGTGTACTGAGAGGAATTCCGTCATACAACGCCCCGTATACGGCTTGCCTATTGGATGTTCAGCAAGGCCGCCAATAGAGTATGCACATCTTACAAAGGACGACACTGCTGTCTGTGTTAGGGTCATAGTGAATGCGACTGAAAACGGTTTTTGCCGGCTGAGTTTTGTCAGACAGTTCCCATGTAAAACGGGCCTCCTTACCTTTCCCTCTGGGTGGACAATGTTTAGGCCCATCTGTCGATCGACAGTTAACAGTGGCTCTTCACAAATCACCTCCTCTCTGGATAACGGTCAATTGCGTTCAGCGAGAAAATGCTGCTTACCGTGGAAACTCGCCTCTGCAACGAGCGACATACTCTTTCCGGACGGTATTTTTCTCGAATTCTTTGGCCATGTTCTTGGCGCAACGAGAAGATAGCGGAAGGATCATAAGGCCAGAGGTTAGTCGGTCGAGTCGGTTCACCGCTACGGATGCTTCTAGTATAGAGGTTAACGCGAGAAGGACCACGTACGGTATGTCAAGAGCCCAAATTCATCCTTCAAAATCTCCATCAATGTGTTCTTGAAGTATCGTCCTGTACCATGAATGGGCTGTAAGACGCAGCTGTTAGATAGCAATCACATTATTAAGAGACGACGAACGAACTATGCTACCTGGTTTGTCGACCACAATGAATTCACGCTCTACATCGTGATGAAGGATCTTGATGGGGGTGGAGGTTACAGGCGGCTCATGGCGGTGAACGATGTTTCTGGATAGGCTTTCAGCTAATGAAGAAGGACAGCAGGCGCGATGCTACGCACTCAATGCGGTCGCCGTTCCGAATAATCGTCTCAGGACGCGCGATCTTGCCATTTACGGTTGTAACTCCTGATTCGAGTGCGTATCTCTGAGTTGGATGGTAAGTAGCGTTCATGGCGAAGTCGAACCCATACATAGTATTCCATTGACCTGTCTCTAAACTCCGTCGACACGACCTCTAGTAGCTCGCGATTAAGCCATCGCCCTTTGGCCATGGTGGTATATGGGTGCCAATATGCCTGGATTTTCTTGAGCCCGATGGTGCTCTTGACGGAAAGCGGCGGGTGATCCTCGGGGGCCATGGTAACAAGCACAATGCGTGAAATAACGTGGCGGAACTGCTCGTAGGCAGTCAAAGGCACAAGTGGAAGATGGCGGCGGTGTCTCCTGCTGACAAGCTGGTGGCCGTTATCGAAAGAGTGCTCCAGCCTTGTGAAGGTTTTCCGAAGCGAAGAAAAGGCAGCCCGGCGCCGAAAAGGGCGACGAGTGGTGAAAATGCCGAACAGATTTTCAGTTTTAGACTGTTTTAGACAACCGCGTCACGCTGTGACTGCAAACCATGGGGACATTGAAGTTGAAGATTTAATTAGACAATCAGCGATACTGCTTTATATTATCCTATTCCGATACGGTATTGACTGTCATGTCGCATTACGGTCGTTTTCCTTCTCAATTTTCAGCTGTAAGTACTCCAGCTCCATCCTGTACAAGTCCACTTTGTGTTGTGCTATCATCCGCTTGAGTTGGGTAATCCGCGCCGCTCGAGCCACTTTGCCGATTTCTGCCCATGATTTCTTCGCGGAATGTCAGCGGAGAACGAGTGTAAACACAGGAGTAACTCACAGTAAACCGGACTTCGCAGTCCTTGAAGTCCTTCAGAGACGCATCAAGTATCTGTTCCAGCTCTGAACTGTCATGCTTATTATTGTACGCAAAAATGTCAAAGAAAAGCCGAGCGCATCTGGTGACAAGATTTTAGAGGGCATTTAGTACAAAGCTGTGAAGACTGACTGTTCGACTCTTGAGATCTCGTTGGCGTGATTTTGGTGCCATTGCTCATGAGGACAGTCGCCAGCCGGTCCACATGGATGTATTAAGCCAGTCGGCTCAGTCAAAAGCGTCGTCAAGTGCTCGAAAACTTCTGTTAGGTTTTTGCTCAACTCTGCCGAAGTTCCAATGCGCAGAAATCGCTTGCACGCTTCGAGGTCCTAACGGGTCATCAGAAAGAAGAATGCGGGACCTCGATAAAACGCACCTGATGCATTCCTCGACATATACCCTCGCATTTTTGCAAAAGTTGCCTGGTTCTCTCCAACTCTGAATCGTCACGATGGTGGTGAATCGACTGTGGGAAATCATCACGGTGAGCTTGGGAGACGTCGATAATGGATGGGCCACCGTCTTCAGAACTGCTGCTTTCGCTAGCGTTCAAGTTGTCGACGTTCAAGTCAAAGATGAATTGACTGGGGTGTTCGTTCGCATGAGCGTTTTGTAGCAGCACCGAGGGCTCCGGCTCTTCACTAGCAGTCCTACGTGAAGGTGGTGGTGGTACATCTTGATCGAAGGTACGGTTTGATGTCATGGTGCTGAAGATAGGTATGGAGATGGGATGAGGCGTTGCATATTCATAAAATTGCGGGGCGTTTGTTTGGGGTTTGGTATAGTCATCTGGGTCCGGCAGCTCCTCGATAAATGCCATTCGCGCTTTCTTGCGTGGCGCAGGGGTGGGAGTTATGGGATTCAGATGTTTCTGAGGTGCGAGTCAGTTTGTGGATAGGATTCGTAGTCATACGGAACCTCTATTGGATGGGATTTCTGACTGGACCTCGATCTGTTGGTCGACTGCTCGTGATCGGATTGAGCGCGCCGCTGCTTTGGAGCTTTTGGGGCACTTTCCATACCCTTCGATTGGGAAATAATGGCTGGTTGAAAGCGACTTTAAATACACGGGCCACACAGTGCTTGTACTGCAGTTATTGTTCTGCGGTCACCTGGGAGACTCAGCGCTTAAAGACAAGAGTCATTTCGTGTTGTGTGGGTCCAGTCGTGAGAAGGGTTTGACAGTCGTGATGTCGATGAGGCGATACCAGTCTGACTGATTGAGCTCATGAGTAAAGTTCTATGGCTGGAAAGCACAATATAGGTTATCGTGAAGACCTCGGATTGGGCCGGAGGCGAAAGCATTCATTGATGTTCTCGATGGCTCGCAGAGGGTTCCGGGCCCTGATTAAATGAAGCGGAGAGACAGGAGAGTTTGAGCATTTTTTGGGGGAAATACTTAGAAGAGGGAGTCTCGAACGGTTTCAAGTTGGTGGGAGGTTGACATCAATTGATCACGCGACCTCGTGACGAGATGTGACTTCAGAATTGCTCCCTCGAGCGTTCCAATGTTATGCTATCCTATCTCGGCTCAACCACAGGACTCTGCGAATGTGACCCTCCAATGTTTCAAGATGGAAGAGGCTTTAAGGATGATTCAAATCACACATATCGAGGTCTTGCCTTGTAAGTTGTTCGCCGAGGCCATCTACGGTGACGTTCGGCGCAAGCTACATATGCTGGCAACAGACACTTGAACACAGCAAACAAGAGCCTCATGGTACTGCATATCCAATGCCTCGTTGGCGAGTTCCTGTCATGGCACAATCGCTGCATGCTCGACACTTTCGGATACCTTCCCTACGGCGTATAACCCATCTATTTGGTCTCTCCAAACTTTCAAGCTTCTGTTCATCAACGCAGTCGCCACGGCTACTTTCCTTCCGTCCCTGATTACGGTCAAGATGTGCAAGTATTTTGCCACCTGTGCTCTTCGGGGTTGCGGCCGAATGATTTCCAGACGACACCGACACTGGCTGCACACAACATGATACCGCTCAATGGAGTACCCCGAGTATTTGCCATCTTCGACTGATCTCTCTCTCTCCCTTCTTTCTGGATACAACATCTCACCCCACTGTACCTAGTCAGGCTTGTTGTTCTTAGATAGTCATGTCATCCGAAGAAAATGGGCCAAACTTGCGTCGATACCTAATTTACGACCTGAATGTTGTCAGAGCCGTTACGGCATGTGACTTGGCGGCTACAAGCGAATCCGCATTCTCTCCCTCCGACTGTCTCCCAAGTCCCCCATTATATGGCCCTTTGGCCTCTGTGCGCCATCCCACGTCGTCCTAGGCTGTAAAGCGACGAAACAGAAACTTCATCTATCTGCATGGCAAACAGGCCACCGACGCCAAGCGACAAACTACTCGCCTCTGCCATTCCCCTTCCTTCCGACACCCCCATATCATGCCACATATACTCCCCAGTTGCAGGACCCAGCTCTCAATCATACACGCGCGCTTACGCCGACTTATTGGAGCTCGCCAGACGGGAGGTCTACGTTAGAAATCATTCCAACAACGTCCCATTGACCAAGAGTTTGCTGACGAGTGTCAATATTGGTAGTGGGGAATCTTGCATTTATGTTTTCTCGATAGGGAAGCAGGATGAGCTGGCTGAGCTTGTCTTCGACGGGCTGGCGGGTATGTAATCCAATTTGGGAACCACTCAAATGCTTCCGCTGACTTGTGTCTAGTTACTTCCCAAGTCAAGTTCTCCCCCGCAGACATCTATCCCTGCTCCCCCGCCTGTGCCAATGCAACTATTCCTTGCTCTGCTTGTCAGGACCCTACTACTCCCCGCCACCTTTTACCTCAACAACATTTGCGATTGGTGTACAGCCACTTTTTGGAAGCAGTTCGGACGCGTATAATCGACGATTTGTCGGAAGCTAGCAACTCTCAACAACTTCAGAAGAAACGATCTGTTAAGCGCTTCAGGGGCGGATTCGTGCTGGGCCCTCCACCAAGTTCGACAGAGTGGAGCAAAGGTTGGGATAACCATGCATCGTCGCGACCGTTGGTCTTTTGCCAGTTGCAAATCCACCTCATTAGCCAGCCTCAGCCGCAATTCATAATTCATCCGCAAATGCACACAACTCCCTTTGTCGGTCTCCCTCACGGCCCTGGACGACCCCTCCCTGATGGCGCGCCAATTACATTATTACCTCATGGGACCCCTGCATTTTATTTGGCATCGTATTCGGGCCCAACCTCCGTGCTTAGGCGTCAATTTCATGACTCACTCCGAGGGCTGGGTGTTTGTGGATGGGATGCCGAAGAAAATGACAGCTCTACAGGCAAGAACGGGGCTGATGGACGCGAGACAACATTCATTATTGCATGGATCAACGTCGAAAACAAGCAAGGCGAGGAAAAAGGTATCACAATCATATACCCTTCCAGCCTCTGTCTCGGGTTTGCTCCAGGCGCCCCGTCATTGTGTTGTTCAGGACGAAGAGAATCACTTTCATATATTCCAGACCTTCCGCCCCAATTGCAACCTTCTCCTCAAATCACTTCGGCTACGCCAGCCTCTGCAGTTTTCCCTCCTCCGGTTCCTTCGCATCTTGACTTTGCCCTCCAATCCACATCATGTCCTCCTACTCCTTCCCCACTTGCAACACGCTCTTTCAGAAATCTGACTATTTCTCGGTCAAAAAACCTGCGGCAAATTGCAACACAAGTCAATGGCTATGTTGATTCCGTTGCCAAAGAGCGTGAAAGGGAGAGGGAACGAATGCGAAGAGAACGTGAAAGAGAGGGCAGTTCTCCCCAGCTAGCCCGAGCCAGCACTATTGGTGCCATGTCAACTCCAGCAGCCACCCCGGCTTCTATACCGCCACAGACACCAGGTCCCCTTCCCCCTGCTTCTACTCCTCAAACCGTGTCAATACAAGCTCCCGCGCCATCCACTTTCTATCCATCTCCGCCTGAAGCTGATCAGCTTTTTGTCGCTCCAGATGAGAGTCGGACATCACCAGTAGTTACGGAGCCTGTCCCACAACCCGAGGCCACACCACCACCCGTCCAAAAGCAACCGCAAGCACCAGCGGCGAGTTTTGATCCTTTCATGGACATCGATATGGCTATGAATAGTTTCGGTGATATGAATGGAATGATTGACATCGCGATGGGCATGGACTTTGGGATGGGAAATGCGGCTGCTGGAGCGCTTCAGCAACGTGGAGCTTTGTCGACTACCATGGATTTCGACATTACGGACGACGATTTCAACTTTTTTGATGCTCCACACGCTCAAACTCTTCCTCTGCACAGCGCTCCGAATGCTATGCAATTCCATAGCGGGTCAATGTCTATGGGCTTGAATGGAATGCTTGGAATGTCGCCCTCTAATCTCCTCTTTGGTGAAAGTCCCAGCGCCGCGATTGACTGGAACCAGTTCACGCCTGGTCCTGATGTTCACCCAGCCGGTATACCTAGCGTTCCAGAGCTTCTCCCCCCAACTCCAGGCGAAACACCGATTGCTCTTTCGGTCTCAGCCCCTGTTACGCCGAGCGTTTATCTTGCTGACTCAGAAGATCACATGACCTCGTGGAACTTTACTCGACGAGTTACGAGCATCGGACCGCAAGGGAATTTCGAAGCCATTCGGTTTGCGGAGGCGCATCGTCTTGCCGATGGCAAGTATGCCATGGGGAAATTCGCATTACCTAGTCCACCTCCCGAGAAGGGCGACGAGGGCACGGGTGGAACGCATCTTGGAGCTGCGTTTCGCTTAAGCGGTGGTGGTTGGGGAGATGATTATGCCTCCAAAACGGATCCACGAATCGCCTTGGTGAAGAAATTAATCGGTGTCAAGCGCAAGACAGCATTTAGGGAAGGTGGCCGGAAATCCGGCCCTAAAGTGTCCCCAGCTTGGCGAAGGGAGGTCGAAGATTGGGAAACCCGACTACCAGACACCGATGAGCCCAAATCTGACTTGGAATCGGACGAAGAAGAACCCGAAATGGACGAGGAAACCCCGTTGGAATCGCGACCGTCCACACCCCCTCCGCCTTATCTTCCTCTCGGGCCAACATTACTCCATACCCATTTTCTGCATGCCCATTTGCTCCCTCTCAGTGGGCCCCTTCGTCCGCCGGGCTCAGCTGTTGCAGCCCCATCGATGACCCCATCGTATTCTGGTGCTCTGGCCTCAGTACCGACACCTGTTTCTCCTGCAGCACTCCTTGGTGCAGCGACAGAAAAGTCCAAATCTCTTGAGGCTGTTGCATTTGCGATTGGGCGAGAGATCGTGGAAAACAGTGTTTGGGGAGAAGCCTGGCGATCGAGTATGGCCGGTTCCTCGTATTCGACGGCCATGAAAAGCTCCCCAGATGCGGTTTGGCCCGCGGACATCAGAATCGTCGCCCAACTATTTCAACTCGTGCCGGAGATTGTTGGGCCACTAGACCTCGACGCGTTGTTCGACCTGAAAGCGAGCGAAGAAAAGAGGAATATCGAAACCTTGGAACCTCCTCATATTGCTATCGGGAAGGCAGAAGCGATCATCCAGCTCACTCCATCGGCGCTGAGATTCTGGGACAAACTCGGTTTGACGCCAAAGGGTGGTCAGAAGAACGCAACTGTGTTCATGTTGTTTGAGGACGACGGTGAAACACATGCTCAACTTGTTGAGACATGGTTGTCTAAACTGACAGCGCTGTACAAGGCAGGTGCTTTTCGTGCTTAATTTATCCCCTGCTCATGGTCTTTTTCCAGAGTCGAAACCTCGGGACTTTGACCGCTGGCAAGCATGACATGTGTTCAAAAGATGGGGTTTTCCCAATGCGGTTCGATTCAACATTCCGCAAGACTCTTTGTAAGCTCGTTGTCGTAGTCGATCACTCGGGTTTCTAATTTATCTTCAGCTGCATTTGTTGCTGGCCTTGCCTCACTACCGCAACCCTCTACCTTTGTCTTTTACATATGCACGCCATTATCGACCATGTCGCTCCAATCACCACTACTTCGACAGGTTTTCTCGTCCGCGAAGAAGGCTCTTCAAACACTGGAAGGAGCGTCCAGACCCCTCTTCCAGTTCATCCCCGAGGTCACAATTCTGAGTGCAACCACACAGAATCCCGCACTGCAAATTTCCGAATTGAAAGCAGTGTGCTTGTCGACTTATGATCGAATACTAGCGTCAGTGGACCGCGCCATGTCGCGCCAATTCTTCGCGCACAGCGAGCCTGTCAGGCAACACTTGCAAGATTTTGCCTACTCCCTCGCTCGGCCGATTCGTCCGACAGTGCATTTCGCCCACACGACCAAGCCTGCGTTGGATGTGCTTGACGCTGGAATGCTGCTCCACGTCGCTTATGCGTTGAGCGAGTGTGGGAAATGGATTTTATGTGCTTGCGTAGACCAGCGAGGCGATGCCCATGATTTGGCTGTTTGGATGACGCAAACACCCACGCATGTCGACGACGATATTGAAATGCTCTCGACCGAGGAATATGCTGTTCGCAAAATCTGGGACTTTGCATTCGGCTTTGCGAAGCGCGCAAGTGTTTCTTGGCGAATCGCGATCTCCAAATTGGGGTCAATGGAGTCGGCTGATCTAGAAGGTAACAAGGTTGCTCTTGCTTTAAGAATCACTGCTGATCACTTTCTCCAGCGTGGTCGACGTTTCTCCCCGCGACGGTGGAGAAGTGTTCAATGTCAGGTATACAGGTAGCACTGCTGTCTGTCGAGCCAGATGCTGCTTGGTCATTTCTACTTCCGGATGCGAAGCCCTCGACAAACCCGACTGGAAGACCGCCTTCCCGCATAACCTCGACTTCAACGACGCCCGCTGGTGTCAAGGCGCAACCATTATTGGTTGACGTTTCGTCAACAACATATGCCATCTACCCACACCGCCACCTCCCGCTCCCCGTTCCGTTGTCGCCTGCTGTTGACCTAGGACTTATCGACGGCTATGTTGCCGAGACTTCTGGCTTGGTCATTGGTGACGAAGATAATGAAGCCGCTACACCGATCTCTGCTGTCAACCTGGTGACTGCTCCGACTTTTCCCCACCCGCTTCCTATCCAGCCGCTTTCGACGACATTGCTGGTCCGTGTACCCGCTGCGTCCATTGCGAGCACTCCTTCGATGCTCCACATTAATCTTCTGGCGGTGTTTCCTCCCAAACAACCTTCGACTCAGCTGCACAAGGACATTACACAATCCTTCTACGAATTGAGTGTCTTGGGAGCGACACGGTGGCGCTTGTCGGCGAACGGCGGCGCCAACCCGATATTGCCGTTCCACCTCGGCGCTGTGGACGCGATGAAGGGTGCTTTGGGACGGGAGGTCGGGTCAGGTTAATCTTTAGATATTTTCCCCTTTGGTCTTGGTGCTATTTCTCACTTGCTATCACATCCAATTACTGTAACACCATCTAACTCACATCACTCACTTGCATAACACACAGTTGATTCATTTTTTTTTGTTGTTTGTTTGTACAATTTATCACCCGTCTCGGAACAAATTGGACTCTGAAGTTGAATCAGTTTGTGAAAGTTAGTTAAAGCTTTCAAAAGCACTAGCTTTCATATAATTTTTTTCTTTGGCCGGAGCAAATGGATTTTGCTAGACCAAATCTGAAGCAAAGTTTACTAGGATGGCTGGATGACTGATACTTACATACCTCCAAGTCTCATAAGCACCACCCCCTTAGTAGCAGTAGCATACTTGTCCACAGAATAAAATTATGATTTTTCAAAAAAAAAAAAAAAAAAAAGCGAGCACATGACTGTGGGAATTTATCAGGCCTAGATCAGGTCACAATTCCAACCACTTCAAAAGTTGCAACTACTGTACTTCAAAGTCTTCGACAATTTTTCACGCAAGTTGCTGCTTCCGATCAAGCCAACTCTATGCAGACTGTCCCCTCGCTAGCTGTCCCTCATGTGCTGGATGTTTCCCACCCCATAATATACGCGCCAGTATGATATCGGATCGGCCAATTCACCGACGGTCCGAGCGAAACACCGTTTTGAATAGGTTTTCAGGCCGGTACGTTGAAAAGACGTTGTAGTCGTCCTATCTAATCAAACCCACTCAATTGACCTCCAGTTATAGCCCACAGTGACAATTCCATGCCGTTTGGTATAAAGATAGTCTTTCCGGAAACCGCAAATCATGGCCTTGCTTCCGCCAGGGCTGCTGCTCCTCGCAAGAGGCATTCCCAACGTCGTTCTTCCTCCTCTGTCCGTGGTTGTTACCCATCTACTTGCACGGCGATATCTTGGTGTCGATATCCTTCCGCCCTCCCTTTCAGGATGGCAGCAAGGCCTTGTGCTGCTGGCCAGCATCCCGCTCACGGTTACTTTTCGCATTTGGCGGGCCATTATTCGAGACAAACGCGATGCGCGGGCCAAGGGAGCTGTTCTGCCGCCCGCCATGCCCAGTACAATTGGCGGTATCGACATTCTTCGAGATGCGATCATCAAGGCGGAGACCATGTACCCTGGAGAGGGAGTCTCTGTTCTTAGCGAACAGCTTGGACAACCAATCATAAATTTGCGGATTTTGTTCGAGAATCGAGTACGTGGCCATTTCTCTCTACCCCTCAACGCCAACGCTGTACGCAGATGGTGACTGGGGAGCCGGAATATATCAAGGTCGACAGATAGCTACATCTTCTTTGCGCTACTGACCGTGCATCGTTAGGCAATACTCTCGACCCAATTCTCCAGTTTTGAGAAAGGACCGGATTCTCGCGAGATGTTTGGTGACCTTCTGGGGACTGGCGTCTTTCTGGCAGACGGTACGTGTGCTTTACTTCTCGATTTGAGTCCCCTGACCATTGTAGGTGAATTATGGAAGTACGGCGCTTAATTCCGAGTCTATGGCAACTCACGCATTCGTTGTCAGGTTCCACCGTGGAATGACTCGTCCCTTTTTCAAACGCGACCGCGTCAGCGACTTCGCTCTTTTCGACCGGTACTCGCTCACCGCCATTCACAAAATCAAGCAACGCCTCAATGACGGTTTTGCGGTTGACTTTCAGGATGTCATAACGCGTTTCGCTATGGATGCTTCTTGCGAGTTCCTTTTCGGCTACGACCCGCGCACTCTCGAAGCTGGCCTGCCGTATCCACATACCGCCATATCACCTATCGCATCGACCACAGTTCTGGACAAAGATCATGAAGCCGCTTTGAAGTTTACTGGTGCTATTGCCCGTGCTCAAGAGTCGACAATCGGGAGAGGACCAATGGGCCCCGCGTGGCCATTGATGGAATTCTGGAGCAATAAGGTCACGAAGGAGATGCGCGTGATTCGACAGTTCTTGGACCCAATTCTGCAAGCGGCGACTGCTAAGGGAAACCAAGAAAAGATGTCCACCCAGGGTATTAAGGACCGTGAGGTCCAGGAAGGCGAGACTCTTGTTGATCATTTGTCCCATTACACACAAGGTTTGTCGTTGCTACTTCTTGGCACTATAATTCTGATGAACCCAGACCAAACCATTCTCCGCGACGAAATCCTCAATATCGGCCTCGCAGGACGCGGCACAACGTCTAGTTTACTCACTTTCGTCATCTACATGCTCACCGACCATCCCCACGTTTTGGCCAAGTTGCGCGCTGAAATAATGGAGACTGTCGGTCCAACTCGCGCGCCAACACCCGATGACATCCGCGAGATGAAGTATTTGCGTGCAGTCTTGAACGGTGTGCTGTCCCTCTAGTCGCCCCCCCAATGCCTAAAACTCCCTAGAAACCCTCCGACTTCATCCTCCTGTTCCAGTCAATATGCGGTAAGTGCGAGACACATTTGCCATCCACTCTCTGATTTGCCGCAGATGCACGGCCGAACCTGTTGTCCTTCCACCCATCAAACCCGACGCAAAACCATTCTATATTCCCGCTAATACCCAGTAGGCTTGTCTTGCTCCAAGTAATATTCACCTAGATGTTTTGCAGAGTCCCATTTTCGACCATCTCCATGCATCGTCGACCCGATTTATGGGGACCCGACGTGCTCGAATGGGATCCTGAGCGGTTCATTGATGAACGGCTACAAAAATACCGTGAGTTCAATGCACTTGGTCTATTCCGATCAAAACCCCCACCAGTGATCCCCAACCCGTTCATCTTCCTGCCCTTCAGCGCCGGCCCGCGCATCTGTCTGGGCCAGCAATTCGCCTACCACGAGACCTCCGTGTTCCTCGTCCGCCTCCTCCAGAGTTTCTCGGATATTTCGCTGGCCATGGACGCGCAGCCGCCGGAGAGCTACCCGCCCAAGGAATGGAAAGACCCGGCTCGTGATTTGCTGGGGTGGAAGCGCCGAGAGCGGCTTTTTGTGAAGAGCCATGTGACGGCGTATATACGAGGCGGGGTCTGGGTGCGTATGAATGAGGCAGAGTAGGCAGCAAATGTGGTGGAGTCTTTCCAATTATCATGTAAGTAAAGATCCAGCTATACATACTGGTGAACCTTTAATAGACACTACTACCACTGGATGCCTTTCCATAACTCAGATTTCACTTCTAGCGGTACCACAACGAGACTTGAGTAGTACTAGTTGAGAAATAATGAATTTTGGAGTTTTGTGCTTCCCATAACGCACTTACTCAAATGTAGCTGACTGCATTTTGGCAAGTCGTGTCAACGACGCAGTTTTCCTTCGGGTTTCCCTCCCATGTATCCCGACTGTCATAATCGACAACACCGTGACGTTGCCCAGCGGCTTGATTGGTGGAACTCAGGGCTCATCGATAGCAAGCAAATGCTGCTAGAAGGAGGGTCGCGGCTGTTGGCGGTGAACCTTTTCTGCCCAATTGCCGGACCATCAGCCAAAGATGGCTGAATATGCATTTGTAGAACACTACGAATCTAAGGAGGGGGTTCCGACCTTAGATTTGAGGAAAGTAAGAGAGTGTATGTCGCTCTTTAAGCTTCGGGGTCCTCATGCAGATCCGGCTTCTGCCCGGCATCATGTTCTGCTGAAAGTAAAAGTGCATCTGAGGTTGTGGAAAGGCATCCAATGTCAAGTACTTATATGCTCAACTCGATACTGACCGTTGGTAAGTGCGGAAGCATGCAACGAAATCCACTTGATCAGCGATGTGACGGTATAAAATGAACTCCGACTGAATGTTTACCCGAGGGAAATAACTGCATTGCCAAATCTCTGCGAATAGTCGACGCAAGGAGCCTTGGGGAAAGGCTGAGCAAGCTCGTGCTGTTGGCCGTTAATATTCAGAGCGATCAATGTGCCAGTGCCAGCGTATTGTGTCTTGGTCGGGCCTCGATGTAATTGATTAGGACGTGCCACGTAAAAAAATACCACAACATACCCCAATCACCATCGTCCTGGAACCAACGCCCGCCACTGCGCTGAACGAAATGAATCCCGCGCCGCTTCAACGCCGCAATGCTCAGTGGGGTCCTGAAGTCGTCTTGGTAGGCGATATGGTAGTTCCAACCTCCGTTGAACATCGTCGCGCCGTTCGCCCATAACACGCAGATGTAGTCGGTGCCCGGGAAAGGAATGCCCTTGATGAATCCAGGAGCAGGATATGCCATGGGGTGGTCGATGTCAAACTGCAGGACTCATATTAGAGTTGGAGTGGCATTTAGTTTTTGACCGCTTACTCCAAGGCCTCCGGCGTGCTCGATATCGATTGTAGTGTGGTCGATTAGCTGTCCATTTGTGCCGGGAATAGCCTGGGGTCCAGTGGGTACGGGTGGTTTCACTGGCAAATTAGCACCTGGTCGTGGTAATGGCATGAGAGAAGAGAGAATGGAACGCCACGTGATGAGTCGCTCTTTAACAGTGTGTTGATAGGACCGTTGAATCCAGAGTTCGGAGGAATTTTAGAGGAAATCTCAAGTAGGTCGGGGCAAAGACAAAACTGATGCTAGTTGGAGCCAGCAAATTTTTGTTTCACCATCTTCTACACATTATTAATAGTACTATTGAAACATGTTATCATACAATTAATTGCGGTTCTTTCCTACTAGTTCTAACTCTGTTGCAGCATGAACTCGATTTCACATCATTCCAGGTTGAAGGTTCCGAGTCGATTCATCAAGTATTGTTTGCAGCGAGGACAACGGCTCCAAGTTGACAGATTTCGAGGACGGTCGTTGCAACTGGAGTCGCGCTGAGCCGCGGAGGGGCCGGGAACACCTCGGTGGCTTCGTGTATTTCACCTTGGATGCGAAGGGCCACAAGATGACCGGGAGCAGCAACCAATGTTGTAACAGCATCTAAATAGATCGCTGAGTTGGACCGCAGCGAATTGAAAAGCAGCAGCTCACCCCAGTCATGCTCTTCCAGCCAATCATGGATACCGCGTTCCAAGAAGGTGATTCCCTTACTGCCACTGAGGTGATGGACAAGGGAACCAGAGGTTCGTTCTTCAATGCAATATGGAATTGCCAGACGCCGGATTCCATAGTCGACCAATTAGCCCAAAGGACACAGATGTACTCAGTTTTGCCGATGGGAATACCCTTCGTGTGCCCAGGAACGGGGTAAGCTTGTGGACTGTTATATTCGACCTGTTGCCCGTCAGCCGTGCGGGTGGCGCCGAAAGACTTACCCCAAGCATCCCCCATTGTTGTGGGTCTTGCATAGGAGCTAACGGTGGAGACGAGTGCTCGCGAGGCGTGAAGCTCGTATTGTGAGAGTATGAAGATGTAGTACGGCGGGTGTGGGCCATGGTGGCAGGAGAAAAAGGCAAATGCACCACGTGATGAAGTCTTGATGAACGAACAGTAAGTTATGTAATCGAAGCCGACTGTTGGTTTGCCTGTGGTACTGCATGTTTCCAACATTAGACTCGGATAATTGCGCAAGGTACATTAAGTACCTGGCAATAAGTAGTATAGTGCTGCCAGCAACAGGCCAACAGCTTTAAATTTGTCTCTCTCTTGGACTCCCGACTCGAATATCAATATTCTTAGGATTTTAAAGTTGTACTATCCCCGCTCTGCTATTTCCAGCCCTCGATCTACTCTCCCAAGCACATCTTCAATAAACTGGCTAGTAAATGTGCCGTTCTCAGTCTCCACCACAGGAAAAATTTGCTGAAGAGTGGCGAAAAGCGGGTCGGTTGCGGCATTGGGGACGTCAGTGGAGATATCAAAAGTGGTGGACGTTGCGTAAGATAGATTGAGCTTGAGGAGCTCGTCAGTCAACTTTTGGTGCACTTGCTGGATGGTCTTGTCGCGTTTCTCTTGAAACTCTCTGCCGCCGACTTTGATATGCGCACCGAACTTGAAGTAATACCCACCCATCGCAAACCCATCGGCTTCTGAATGTCGCTTGCTACGGCTAGCAGCTCGGGACTTGCAAATGCCATGTTGGGTACGGGTTTGCTTGTTCTCTTTGAGTCGCAGTCTGAGCTGGGAAGAGCCGAAGAGACTGCCCAGCTCAAGAAACTTCTGGGAGCTGTTCGCGAGGTCGGGGATATGAACAACTCCATTGTACTTGTGTCTGAGCGTCGTCGACAGCGCTGCATCGCCAGGTCACGACTTCCAAAAAGCGGTATTGATATGGATGGGTGTCAGTTGTGTCGAGGTTCATGGGACTTGGCGAGAGTTTGTCGAGTCCCAGTTGCTCAAATTCAAGTTGAAGATCAACTTGATCAACTTATTATGTAGTAGTTAAACACAATAGTTGGTTCAGCTAGACATACCGGTGAACCAAGCCAAATCATCCACCACATCCTCAAGTTTTCCCAGCCGGTGGTAAGTGCGGCAGCATGCAACGGAAATTCACTTGATCAACGATGTGAGGATATATGAACTCAATGGTTACGCGAGGGAAATCACTGCATTGTCGAATCTCTGCGAATAGCAGTCGACGCAAGGAGCCTTGGGGAAAGGCTGAGCAAGCTCGTGCCATTGGCGGTTAATATTCAGAGCGATCAATTCGCCAGTGCCAGCGTATAGTGTCTTGGTCGGGCCTCGATGTAATTAATTAGGACGTGCCATGTTACGCAAAGGAATACAATGACATACCCCAATCACCATCGTCCTGGTACCACTCCCCGCCACTGCGCTGAACGAGATGAATCCCGCGCCGCTTCAACCCCGAAATGCTCAGTGGGGTCCTGAACGCGTCTTTGTGGGCGATATGGTAGTGCCAACCCCCGTTGAACATCGTCGCGCCGTTCGCCCATAACACGCAGATGTAGTCGGTGCCCGGGAAAGGAATGCCCTTGATGAATCCAGGAGCAGGATATGCCATGGGGTGGTCGATGTCAAACTGCAGGACTCATATTAGAGTTGGAGTGGCATTTAGTTTTTGACCGCTTACTCCAAGGCCTCCGGCGTGTTCGAGATCGATTGTAGTATGGTCGATTAACTGTCCATTTGTGCCGGGAATAGCCTGGGGCATGAAGCGGGGTACGCCTGGTTCCAAATGAGCACTTGGTTGTGGTGATGACATGAGAAAAGACTCAAAGAATGGAACGCCACGTGATGAGTCGCGCTGCGCTTCTTGTCTTCAAGCATGTACCACCCACCTCCTTTCTCGGGGTTGCCATACGACCTTACCGTTGAGATATTCAGTGCTTGCCTACCCCTCCATCGTCGCATCGAGCCGAATCCCAGGACCGCTCCCATGTTGCTTGCACAAGTCTGCACCGGCTGGCGCGACGTTGCGCTGTCTACGCCGGAACTGTGGAAGACAATCTTTCTCCACATTGGCAAACGAGGTGGAGGTCGAGGCCTTGTTGCCGACAGTGCCATTGCACTTCTCGACCTCTGGCTTTCACGATCCTTGCCATGTACCGTCTCAATACGCATTCAAAGTCACAACACGCCTGGGTTGCTGCTGCCCGACAATCTTGTGAGAGCGTTAGCATCCTGCTCCCTCCGCTGGGAGCATATCGAGCTGGATCTTGCTACATATGATCCGGACGAGATAAACCGCATTCCGGGACCGTTCCCCAATCTTCGAACGCTGGCCGTATCTTTGGATAGGGAGGACTATCCAGCCCTTATATGCCGTGGTGCCACCGGGGCGCTCTTCCCACGTTTATCTGCTTTAGGTCTCTGCAATTTTGCTTCCCTCGACAAAGACCCTGATCTTCAATTGCCCTCGTCACTTACGACCTTGACATATAACCACTGGAAGACGCAGATCCTAGAGCCCTGGGAAGCATGTATGACCTTTGTGCAGCACATTTCCCATCTACGCCACCTGACCTTGTCGTACATACCTCCATATTTCCACCGGCACAACGGTCTAGACATAATCACAAGTCTGTCCCAGTTGCAAACACTCCATCTCGATGGGGATCCTCATTTTCTCGACTTTCTCGTCGTCCCATCGTTAAAGTCGTTACAAGTCCTGATATTTGAAGAAGCTCACTGGGCCCCGATCATTTCCTTCCTCACACGCTCTGGCTG